ATTTTGTTATGTAATTTAGACCCACTTCTTCAGAGGGCGATAGTGCGCGAGGGCATTTTAGCGTTACAGCCATGGAGGTAAGAAATAACAGGAGGGAGTGTAAGGCCTTTTTGTTGGTGGGGATTACTATGCCGAATGTGATTGATTGGCCACAGTAATATGGCGTTTTATACAAACTTTATTGGAGTTCGGGATTACTACGCCAAATGTGATTGGTTGGCCACAGTAATATGGCGTTTTGTAATGTTCCCCCCTTACGTCTGCTTAGCCAGGCCGCGGGGGAATATGCTCCCTCCTGTTATTTCTTACCTCCATGGTTACAGCCAAAAGGCCGGCATGTCCGCTCTCGGATCTTCTCTGTTAATAATATCTTGTCGATGGTGTTGCACTAGTGCAGCACTGCAGCCAAGGGAAAAAACGCTGTACATACAAGTAGGATTTTGTTTTCTAATTCCTCTCTACATGCCGTTCAGTTAGTGGCCGTACGTCTTGGCGGATTAATATTTGTCTTCTCGTCGGACGGTTGGGTGAATTTTTGTTTGTTTCTGTCATGGCCGACGCGCTCGATGCGAGCGTATTTATGGCCGGATCGTGTCAGTGTGCGGTGGTCAGCGGTGATACACGGTAATGTATTGTCGTTCTCCGTTGAAGGCTGGTGAAGTTGTGAGTGTCTAGCAGCGCGAGACATGGGTGACGATAATAATGGGCAGACGAGTGGGTGTCGATGCGGAGATAGACGCTACTATTAGCGAGCTCGAAGTGCTCGTCGCGTCGGAGTCGGGGGGGCAGGAGGAAGAGGAGGAGGGGGAGGAGAAGGAGAATATATGCGACGGGAGGTCCGCGACGACGAGGATGGAGTCGCGGCACCCGCGCAGGAACCGTCTGCGTAGCGTCGTCGGGGTATGTCTGTTTCTCGCGCTGACCGGGATCATCTATCTGGGCTACTTCTGCCCGGATCACGTGTGCGCCCTGACGAACCGCGAGATCAAGGAGTCTATCAGGCTGTCCGAGAGTCTGTCCGTTGCCGCCGGACCGCCTGCCGCCGGATCCGCCGCGCTGTCTTCCGTGTCCATCGAGCTCGACAGGAACGGTCTGCTCTCAGTGCATCCCGCCTTCAAGCTGCAGAGCATCCAGGGTAGTCTAGGCTACGACGATGTCTTCGCCAACGACACCTTTCAATTTGACATCAACGCTCACGATGTCATGGTCTTCCTCCATATACAGAAGACAGGTACATGGACAGAGTTCCGAATAGCCCCCTGGTTTGTCCAGAACAGATTTTAAAAATGTCTGCTAGAAATATTGTTGATAGAATGCTAGCAGAAATAAAACGAAATCAGCCTACAGATTATAGCTTACAGATTATATCAAATTGACTGCAGCAATTAAGCCCCGAAATTGCCGTTTCATTATCACTCAAGTAACCAAATCTGTCGAGAATAGATTTTGAAACTTTTGAAAGTGTCTGCTATAATTTTGTAGAATATTACCAGAACAAATGTAACAGATGTAATAGAATCTACTAACTAAAATATAACGGCAGACTGTAGAAATTGGACAAGATGTACAATTATATAATTCATTTTATTTAAATCAATTTACGAAATGATTTAGGTTGTCGCCAATCTGTTAGATTATTTTGGCAAGGTCTGCCGGCAAAACATGATTTTAATATGGACTTATGATATGGATCTGTTACAATATTTGACTAAGTATTGTGTCTGATGTGGTGTGTACTGTCTGCATGCACAAGAAACAGAAAATTATTTCCTTTCTAATTACTGCTATTATCTCTTATTATTATTATTATCTCTTGTAATTTTGAAAAATTTTACAATGCCAAATATATCTGCCTTCAACATTATAATAGAGTTATGAAAAATTTAAGAAAAATTTCTTTTTTTGTTTGTAAAAATTAAAATTTTACATAACTTATTTATTATAATTTTAGTAAGAAGGTTAATATACTTAATGCTAGCAAATTTTCTAAAACTCTTAAGAAACTAATAGCACTTATTGTTAGAAAGAGGAAGATTTTTTTTCTAAAAAATTTGTCTATTTTATAACTTATTTTTTATTTCCTGTTATTTGCTGTAAGTTATAATAAAATGTGTTACTGAATCATTTAGGAATAATTTCTTATGTAAATTAAGTAAGATTTATATTTTTAAATTGTATTAAACTTTTTGCAAAATGTTTATGGATATAATAAGCAGTATATTTCTTAGGAACAGAAATATCCTATATCCTTAGTGCTAAAATATTTTAGCTATTATACAATATTTTAATACAAAAGTTAAAGTAAAAAGTAAATGTCTGGTATTTTATTATATGAAACAAGTATAAAATGGCAAAAGTTGAGATGTTCAATTCTATGTTAAATGTGTTCTTGTTTCAATTGTTCAATTATATAAATATGTTTCCTTAATATACATATATGCTTAGAAAGAGGATTTTTCAAAGAAAGAAAAGTTTCTTTTTTAAAATATTTTTTTATTTTATAATGTATAATATTTACTCATAAATTATAATAAAATGTGTTAAGGAATTATCTGTTATTTAAATTACAGATTTATATAATGGATTTTCTAATTGTATTCGATTCTAATTGTATTATTTGCAAAATGTTTATATATATAATGTATGTAATATTCTTTAACAGCAACAATATCTATTGTTATTGCTGAGATATTGTACAATACTTTAGCATAAAAATTCGTACAAGTGAAAAATAAATGTCTGATATTTATATTATGAAACAAACATACAATTTGCAAGAATTAACATGTTTGTGTTCAATTATATAAATCTTTTTTTTTTTTCGAAGATTTCTTTAATAGAATATTTAGAATATCTAGAATTTTCAAAGGCTTTCTTTTTTATTCTCCAAAATCAGAGATTTTCATGGAATTTTATCGATACTCTTAAGGAAATTTTTGAAATTTTACTTTTAAACTCTTTTTCTGAAAAGAGTCTTCTTCATTTTTCTTTGATATTAAATATAGTTTTAAAGGCTGGAAAGAAAACCGGTTTTTTTTTCCGCGGATTTTTTTGGTTTCTTTCCCAAGGGATAGAAAAATTCAATGGAAAATTTCACGTACATATTCGTAAAATCTATCACATTTTACATTTGCAACATTTGATACACTTTTCAAAATTAAAAAATTTTATAACAAGCACATATTTATTGCTGATAATGTTAAATACTAAAAAAATAAAAAGCAAATTACATAAGAATAAATTAAAAAACAAAGTTAATGTATTTTTTAAATAAAACGTATGGCTTTTGACAATTAATAATCAAAACTCTTTAAAAATACTTAATATAAATAGGTTAAATTAATCTTTACACTATAGGATTATTAGAATTAATAGGATTGTTAGGATTGCGTTTTTTAAAGGTTTATTTAATAATAAATAATCCTCACCTCAAGGAATATAGTAAATGTAAACATAAAAATTAATTCATTAATTCCAGCGTTTATACGAGATGTCTTATTTTAATAATGCTACAAAATACGAGAGTTATAACTTATAAGAGTTATAAGCTTATATCTAATTTAAATAAAAAATTTACACATTTTAACGACCAAATTAAAATAAATTATTTACATTAAGTTCTGAATCCCAATTCATATTTAATATGATGAAAAATATTAAAAATTTGGTAATATATCGTTTACATAGCAATTTTTCGCAAAAACAATTTTTCGGAAAAAAACCGAAATTTTTCTGGTTTTTTTTCCAGCAATTTGAAAAAAGCAGATTTTTTAAAACTATAAATCTCTTTCTTAATATTTCTAAGGTAAACCCAAAATTAAAATAAAATAAAATCTCTTTCTTAATATGTCTACTCATATTTGACATGAAATAATACTGTATTTCTTGTATACTATCTACGCGTAAGTGAACCTGACCCGAGGTTCTTTGGTTGAAATCATAATCCTATTCTTTATGCATTAGTGACTTGACAAAAGGTTCTTTGGATGGAATAATAATTCTATTATAATGCTTTGCGAAAACTTGTGAGTTTTCTGACCACCCGGCAGTTTTCTTAATCGTTTCTAAATTCACGCCTTTCTTTAGTGCTGCCGACGT